ATAGTTAGCCAATACATCTGGGTCCAGGGAGGGCTTCTTAAGGAGGGGCCTCACCACCGCCTCCTTTAAGGCCGCGGGGAAGGCACCCTCCCACAAAGAAGCGTTTACAATTCCCTGGAGCCAGGCTCGTGTACCCTCCCGAGCTGCCAGTACCAGCCAGGAGGGGCACGGATCCAGTAAACATGTGGTTGCATTCAGCCTCCCCAGGATCCTGTCCACGTCCTCGGGAGCCACAGAGTCAAACTCCTCCCATACAACAGTCTCAAGATCTGCTCCCGTCTCCTCCCCCGGGGCCACCCAGTCAGAGTCAAGGCCTTCTCGGATCCGAGTGACTTTGTCATACAGATATTGCACAAAGTCCTCGGCCCTCCCCTCCAGGGGATCCCCTCCCTCCCTCAACTGGAGGAGAGAGCGGGTCACCCTGAAGAGGGAGGCCGGGCGGTTATCTGATGACGCGATAAGTGTGGAATAGTAATTAGATCTAGCCACCCTCATCACCACTAGGTAGGATCTAACATGCATCCTTACCTGTGCTCGGTCGAATTCGGTTCGGCTAGCCCTCCAACTGCTCTCTAGGCGTCTTTTCCGGCGTTTCTCTCAGCTCCTCCGTAAACCAAGGGGCCAGTTGAGATCTGCGCCGGGTCAGAGGCCGCAAAGGCACGACTCAGTCCAGTGCTGCGGCAGCGGCTACTTCCCAGGCCGCCGCCTGATTTTCTGCCGAGTCGTGAACTAGATCCTCCGGATATGGCCCAAGCCCCGTCAGGAACCTCTCAGGGTCCATCAGGCGCCTGGGACGGAACCATGTACGCGGTTCCGTCTCCCTGCGGCGGGGGGAGCGGTCCGGAAGTCCATCTTCAGGAGTGAATGATCTGACCATGACAGAGGCTCAATGATTACCTCCCCTGTTTCCAGATCATTTTGCCACTGGCCAGAGACAAAAATTAGATCCAGTGTGTGTCCTCCTATGTGAGTGGGGGCATGTACTAATTGGGTCAAGTCCAAGGCCGTCATGGAAGCCAAGAACTCC